CACCAAAAAAAAATCTTGAGAGTGTTTTCATTCTGACTGAGTTATTACCTTTCGTATTATTGAGCTAAATCATCGCCTCATCCCTTTTTTAAAGGCCGCTTTGTTTGGACAATTGTCTTGACGTCAAGCACTGAAGAGGTGGAGCAAAAAGGAAAAAAAAAAAAATCTTATCCTAATGTGACTTGTCAAATTTCCAGCCACCCTCAGTCCAGCGTTTCATTTTCCATGCTACAGCTGTCCCAATTGTTCGCAGTACACATTTGAACCAACATGATGTGAAATATTCAGGGCTACTTGAAAATGCTAAGAAACTACGTAAGAAAAAAAACACACACACACACAGATTAGGGTGTTAGTCCGTCCATCCGTTATACATACACTGGTTCATTTTGGAGCGGTATTTCTGGGAATTGGCTCTTGTTCTATTTTATGTTCATTCATCAAACTTACTGTTTCTGTATTTTTTTAAAAAAACACGGCACCGTTGCGGTCCCAATAACGCTTTAGTCAGAAGGTAAAACGTTGCTCACTTAAGTATTTGGTGTTGCGACATATTTACTTGTTATAACAAATATGAACAGCAGGATTGTGGAGAGACCAACTCCCTGTACCATTGTGTGGCAGCAGAATGAAGAAACCAAATTCTGAGTTGCATGTGCTTGTTCACGGACACAGGGAAACGCAGAACTCAGGTGCCCTCCAGCAGTATGGCAGAATATTAATGCCTCTAAATAATCCTATTGAATAAATCTCATGACCAATACACTAGAGATTTTTCCGTTCTGAACATATTAAAATATGGTGACGCACCATAAAAATAATTTTTAGCCCCTCAATGCTGATTTTATATAGCTGCGTTTTGCCTCTAGAATCTGATCCTTTTTTCCTTTTACTTGTGCAAAGCACCCCTTTGCACGGTACGTTCCCAAATATTAACTCTGTTCTAAGATGAAAAGCGTTTAAAATGCTGGGAAACTAGGTTCCGTACATTCAAGTCTTCCAATAGGAAACGCAAAAAAATGCTGATATTTCTGATTTAACCTATAGTTTTTGTTCTGTACCTGATTAATTAACTTAATAGATATCACAACCTTCTTCATAATTAATGTTAGCAGGGTTATATGAATGGATGCAAAAAAAGTCACCTTTGCATTTTTTTTATTGAAAATGGTACATCTATAAGCCGTTTGGACCATATGTTCTGCTGTACAAAGCCACTCTGCTCACTTATGCAAAATGGAGGATGAGGAAATGGAGACCATGTATTATTGTTACAGTTGGATGCAGGTTTCACCACACCCTGATTAATTTTGTAATTAAGAATTGTGGTTTGGAGCCTGGCCTGCTTTTTCTTCATCTATAGCAGAATCTTATTTTCAACTTGAAAGCCTTTAAATTGTTTTAAAACGCGGATTGTGATAGATTTAAATACTTGACTGGCTGAATTTAGTCATGCAGATTTTTTGGGCCAAAAATTAAATCTATTGAAAGCAAGTTATACAGGTTTACACAAGGTTCTCACTTAGATATTATTACACTGTTTTGCATAAAATACTGATGTTAAACTAACCCTAGGTAGCCGGTGTTTTGTATTTTCAGCAAATAGTTGATTGGGCAACCAACTAATTAAGAATTGAAGGTAATTAAATATGTTTCATTAGATAGTTGGTTGAATATATATGTATATACTATATATATGAAACATATGTAGTGAATGTATATTTTAAGATGGTTTTGTAACTGCAACAAAGCTGTCAGCTGTTGGCCGAACAGGATCTAAATGACCAATTAAGTGTTTTTTAATACATTGGCTGATTCATACTTGCACTGCTGGATTAACCAGTTTTTCAGTTTTCTGTCGGTTCAGTTTTTGAGCCTATTTGCTAAATGAAGTGCGAGCCTGAAAGATGCATTAAGTATGTGCAATAAGGAAATACCAAACTGAATGACAAGTCAGATGGGCGTTATAATCAGTATTTCCTAATACAAGGTATTGTATGGAAATCTATTTTTAAAAGAAATGTTAACTTAATTAAAATCAGTAATAATTCAATTAAAGGATTCTGATGATGTGAACTGAGAGGTCCTTCAAATGGAATGGCTACATTAAATTCCTCGTCAATTTAGACTTTGTGCATTTGAAGGATGTGACTTCAGTCATTCAATCAAATTTCCTTAAAGGATTCTGTGACCTCTACGAGAAGCAGACGTCAATAAAACTGATTGACTGGTATTTTATGGAGGTGATTTTCTGTTGTATATCTGTATGAATCAGTGTAACTTGAGGATATTGAGAGATCTGTTTTTTTTCTATTATATAATTCCTTGTTTCTTTGGTTATGGTGACTGGTGGAAAATAATTACTAGTGCCATACCAAATAAAACAGTCACTGTGGCAGATTCATGACTTTTATCCGATTCATGTCAAATTCATGAGTCTTACCAAATTTTACTGTTCCTGTTTCGTACAAAAATTAATCTCATCAAATTTTTAAAATTCACTGCAATGTTACTTTTTAAAGAATTAACAACACTTGCATTTATATAGTGCCTCTCACTCAGGGTACAATACCTGATTTGAGGCCTCTGTTTCTTCACTTAACAAAGGAGGGAGAGGTTTCCGATAGAATCCTATTCAGGGATAGAAAGACGGGGCCCAATAGACTGTCTATAAGGATAAAGAATATATGTTGTTTTCTATTATAAAATGTACAGGGAATAACATGGGCAAACTAAGACTGAGTCCAGTAGCCAACAACAACTTACATTCATATAGAGCATTTCACTTGGAAAAATGGTTCTCAGAGGTTGAATGGGGACCCTTGCAAGATGGAAGATGTGGGGGGAGGTAGGTAAGAGGGTGGTGACCAATGCACTGAGGAATAAGGAGCTAACATTTCAGCGAGGACAGGTAATAAATAGGCTTATGGAAAGGTAACGGGCTCAAAGCCATCATAAGACTTGCTGTAAAGTGTAGCAGTTCTGTGTTGTGTAGGCAAATGCAGCACCCAATTTGCGCAAAACAATATCCCATATCAGCCATGAAGTAAATGACCAATTTTCTTTATCTAGGGAATTGTTGGCTTGTACCCAGGGAGAAACTCCCTTCTCTTTTAAATTATGCCATGGGGAAAAAGAAAGATTGAGATCCTTTCATATTATCCATAAATACACTGCAGTGATCTGTTCATTGAAGTACAATGCACACTCCATAAACCAGTGTCCATCTGCCTGTTCTTCAGGTAATTATTAAGATAGCATGGCACGAAACAAAAGGGAACAAAAATCTGTTTTGGCCATTAAACCACCAGATTAATTGGTTATTCATCTCACGTCTGTTTGTCGGACGTTGCTGTGTGCAAAATGGCTGCTGTGCATGCCTTCAGAAAACAATTACTGCCTTTTTAGATATTATGATGTTCTAGGTGCTACAAAAATGTTTCCTTTGCTTTATTAGTAGCAAGGTTTTAAAGAATAATATGAAAATCGGCTAAGAAAATTGAAGAGACTGTGCCTTCATTGACTTAAGTGTTGGACAAATCTTTCCTCATTTGTCACTGCATCACTTGTTTGTAAATGTAAATTGATTTGAAACATGTAATTTGTAACATTTGCATGTGACATTGCAGTGAAAAGGCTGCACAGCTTTTATGCTCCTCTTTCCTTCGCAAACTAAAAATGAATACCATTTCATTTTTATGAAGACAAGAACTGAAATAATTTCAAACCAAGACGCAAAGAAAATTAGAATTTTCATTAGGAATAGGACATTTGCACCATCGAGGTTATTATTTTGCAATTTATGTCTATGACAACTCTTGTTAATTCAACTTCCCTGTCTTTTTCCATATCGCTTCATTTTCTAATTTGCCAAGTATCTATCCAAAGATGGTTGGGAAAATCTGAACCATGGATTTCATTACGTATCATATTTGTGCTGCTTCATGAACAGCTGACTGGTTTTATAGTCTCTTCCACTCCTCCATGCCCTTATTATAGTTGCTTTCTTGCACTAGTGTTTACACTTACAGTGGTAGTATTGAGTCACTGAATCCAAAGGTCTCCATCTGGATCAACTTCACTGAAA